GAGTTGAACGATTGCAATCCTAGTGCGAGGTATGTTATTCCTGAACTTTGGAGCTTAAATGATGGCAGAAAAGCCAGTTAGCAAGAGGCAATCAAGTGCATTATTATAGAGTTGAAGACTTGCAAATCTCTTAGACGGAAAAGGTAACCGAGCCACTGTTAGCATCCAGACTCGCTGGGTCAATAATTCTCAATCAAGTCAGTTCTGTAGAGCACATGCCATATTATGAACTTCCTGATTAGCTAAGTTAAGCTCCTCTGAAGTAATATACTGGAACCAAGCTTGCGTAAATATGAAGGGAGGAAAACCGAAAAAATTAAAGAAAGCGTAGTTTAGGGAACTTTTATGCTGCATTAAACTGAATATACGCATCTGTATTGAATCAAAGCGGCTATTAACTGAATGTGCTTAGGACTCCACTCCCTTGGTGATTCTCTTCTTGCTCGTCCTCCACCAGTGTCCTTAGAACAACAGTTGAAAAGGTGCATAGTTGCAACGTCCAGAAAAATTTTAGAAAAACAAAGGAAACTCAAAAGCAGAACAGAACAGAACATCATAATCATGTAAACGTCAAGAGAGATAATAAATGAAGTTGATGAGCTTTCTGTTTGTGTTTTTAAAATAATTTTTAATGTTATTATATAGTTTTGATGGACTGATATCTAAAATAAATTTAAAAAAATTAAAAAATATTATTTAAATATATTTTCAAATAAAAAATATTTTAAAAAATAATAACTGTTATAATATCAAATAAACCTGAAATACATGAACTTCAAAATCTAAATAAGTTAAAAAGAAAGTAGCATCAAACAGAGAAGCGCTAACTATGATTTCGAATGAACATAGTTATTATTTTTGATATTTGAAAATATAACAATTATTGTTTTTATAATAATTTTTATTTAGAAATATATTAAAATATATTTTTTTTATTTTTAAAACTTATTTTTATCATACACCATAAAAAAAAAATTATTTTTTTTAAAAAAATTAAATTTTAATCCACCTCCAAAAAAAATTTAAAATATAAAATAAATTTAATTTTTTTAAAAAAATTAAATTTTAATCCACCTCTATTTTTTCTAGGGTAAAAAACGGGGGCTAATTATCTCTGGGAGGATGCGGGACGTACTCGCTACAAAGTTGTACGTTTGCCACCTGCTCCGGCCATAAGGCCCCAAATTTCTGGGCTATCATATATCGTTGGGCTCCTCCTCCTAGAGTCTGTAATTGCGCCATAAGCCCAGATCACTCAGCTATAAATTTAAACAGTGGGCTTGAAGCTTTTAGATTCTGTGAAACCCTAGGGACCGGACTTGCAGCTATAAGAAAACTGAATTGCCATTTGCTTCTTCCATCTTCTGTTTCCAGCCGCCACCATAGACAGTAGACACTGTACCAAAACCCTGGGGTTTAGATATTGTTCTTGATTCCTTGCCGTTATTGTTGTATTAATTGTATATAAGCATATATGGGTTATGATTATAAAGAGAGAGGGCTTAAGTGGGATCTTCAACAAAACCCATTTGGATTTGGAGGTTAAAAAGATGGAAAGAAAGGCAGACACAAAAGAAGAAGAAGCCGCCACTCAGAGAGTAAGGCTTTGGTTTCTCTTCAGTCTGTCCCTTTTTTCTCATTTTTTCAACCGTTCACGCTTTTTGGGTTTTTCCACAATGACAGGCCTTTTAAATCTTACACTTGATATGAGCCCGCATGTCAAATTCATTAGATATTTGAGTTTTTTCGTTCACTTAGTTTTTTTATAAGCATTTTGATTTGCATCTGTTGTTTTCGTTATGGGAAAACAGATTTTTGGTTTAGTTTTCTCATTTAACAACTGTGCGATATAGAAAGTCTGATTACTTTACTTGTTTTCCAATAGCAGAAAATTTGTTGTTTGGAAAATGGTGAGGTAATTAGGCAGCGGCCAGACAACCGTAGGGATGGTATCCACAGATGACGGGTCCTTTTTCCCGCTTTGTCTACTGATTCCATCTCACATTTCTTACATTTGATGGTTTAAATATTTTTACTATTATTATTTGTTGTGAGCCCATGAATCGGTGGAAGTTCATATATCAATTAAATTCATGAAAAAAGTGGATGAAATACCAGTTTTGTTTGTAGGGTTTGTCGGTTTTTTAGGGAAACAGGATGACCGACGCAAATTGATTTTGGAAGTGCTGAATTTCATGCATATAGAATTACTCGCAACAATCAAATAATCAAGTCATTGACATTTTCTCGAAGTGCCCTTCTAGATAATTTCTCTCAGTGCATTGAGAGAATTTAGTGGGAAAGTTAAGCTATGGGTGCGAGCAAGTAATCAATTTGGTGCATTCGGTGTTTTCTTACCTCCATTTGTTTAAGTTTTATCTGTTTATCCACAAGGTTGCCTAAAGAATGAGAATTGGAGTTCATTTCATTGATTGGATGTGTGCTTTTAATTCGAAATGTCTCTTTTTTCTTAAATACTTGTTTGGTGGGCACAATAAAATGGATTCACCTCATAGAAATCCTCTATGATATGTTAACAGAAGCTTGTGCTCTAGTATATTTTACTAATTTCGATTCGTTACCGCATATCCTAGCTTTTTTGTGAAAAAATTGATGTTGTTTTCCGTTTCTTTCTGCTGCTTCTTTGTGTCATGCAGCTCATGGTGCGTTATAAGCGTTGTGCAATATCTGGTATTAAGTGTTGGTTATGCCCATTTTCCATGGAATTGAATTAACGTGTTTGCGCACCTGCCTCGTCCTATCTCCAGTTTTACTTGATTACAATCTACGCTTGAAGTTATGCTGAAAGAAAGATCACCACAAGTGATGCATTTCCTGTTTTTGTTATAACATTTTTTTTTGGCATGCGATGCTTTTTGTCAAGTATAACAAGATTTAATTTTGAATGTGATCTATTGATGCAATTCGTGTACTCAAATTACATCTAATGCAAGATTGCCAGCCTCGCCCCAAAATTATCTACATGAATATAGTTGATAACTTTTTCCTCAACTGGGACATTGGTATTTGTGACCATGGATTTCATTGCATGCATGGATTTGAGCCTCTGAACCATTAGGTTCTTTTTCCGTGCACTATTTGGTTCATAAATTCTTGATGATTGGTGAAAACTAGAGTTAAACTTCGGAAAACTCGAGATCGCTATCCTCCCGATGTATCATGAAGGATTAATAATTTGAGGCCTGGGACAGTGATGTGACGCTAGAATAAACTTTGATCAAGAGTGTAAATGTCTGGAGGCGTTGCTTGCCAACGACTGGATGTTTATTTGGGATCTAAAGAAAGTTGCTGTTACATGACAATTCATGGAAAAAATTGCTTTAGAGCTTCATGAATGCCCTTACCCGCACGTGTTTGACTTTTCTGTACAAGAGGAAACTGCTGGCCTGTAAAATCTAGTAAGTTCATTGAAACATCCTGGTAAACTATGGCTGGTCTGTATGTGTTTCAATTTTTTTTAATTGTAAATTAATGATAAGCTATGGGTGCGAGCAAGTAATCAATTTAATGTATTTTTAAGAAAAAATTATTATAAAATTCTATGTTCTCAAACATGCTGTCTGCAAAGCTACTCTTTTCGTAAGTCTTACTCTGTGATCCTGAGGCATAGCTTTTCAATAACAATAATCTCAAATTTTATGATTTTAGTACCGAGTTCGGTTGGGAAATTGTCGTTTGTTATGTTATATTTTTTTTCCCGCGCTAGGGACTTCCCTAGTGTGGGACAGCATACTAGCCCGCCGTTCGATCAATGGAGTACCAGAAATTTACGTTAATACACAATCAGCTGCATCGTGGTGCCAGTCTGGCTACGGCGTTGGTTTATGGATACGCTTGACAAGCCTCCAATTTTATTTGAGTGAGCTTGTTTCATTACAGTTTAAAAGTTGTTTTTTCATTTAGAAATATATTAAAACATTTTTTTTATTTTTTAAAATTATTTTTGATATTAATATTAAAATGGTTTAAAAACATTAAAAAATTAAAAAAACACAATTTGCACTGTTTGTACACTCGTTTTGTGTAGGTTATGACCTTGCAGTTGTAAGGAATCTACGCAAAAATCTAAAACCCAAGAAAAAAAAAAAACTCTATCGGCTAGAATTTCTTCCAAAAAATAAATAGCTGTGGGCTAAATTTCCTGGGCCGGCTTATCTGACGATGAGGGAGCTGGGGGCTGGGGCTGGGGCTAGAGTGCCAACAAGAAGAACGAGGAGATTGAACGAAGCTTCGGGTGAGTGCCAACAACAAGAACGAGGAGATTGAACGAAGCTTCGGGCAAATCTTGATCCAATTGACAACACATCAAATCCCTGTCTCCCGTTCGTCCCTTTTTATCCTTAATTGTTCCTGTTTTCCTTTCTAGTTTTGTTGTGAACACAGACAACAATGGTGAATACAGTAAAGACATTATCCAGAATCTTTGACTTGTTTGTCACCCATCACCGCCGAAGGAAAGAAATCATATCAGTGTTTATCATTCTGACAGATTCTGTCTAGAGGCAGATCACCGCCCCTCTAGTTTTTGCATCTTTCTCCAAATCCAATCCTTTTGTTTATCCTTTCTATGGTTTCCACGAGGAAAATTTATCCTCTCATCCCAAAAAAATGCGAAAAAGCAAAATTGATGTTTAATATTTTTAAAGCACCAAATTACCTTATCTATCGATCTTTTAAGTGACTGCCACCATATTTTATCTACTCTTGCAGGAATTTATTTATTTTTATTAGCACCTGCTTTTTGGTCTAAGTCCCGACTAATTATGGAGACGCACATGCTCTTGATAAAGAGTGCTCTGCAAGTACATTACAGTTACGACTCCTGAGTTTTTACCAAGTAGCCTCCTGGAGTTGCATGATAAAAGTTTTTAACTTTCTTCATCAGAAACGCAGTCATGTCCCAGCTTTTCTTTTGGGAATATTCTATTCATTTTATAATTTTTAAATTTTAATATACTTATATCAAAAATAAATTTTAAAAAATAAAAAAATACTATTTTAATATATTTTTAAATAAAAATTATTTAAACCAACTTTGCGGAAGTTTCCTGAAGAAAGAGTGCATCAACTCAAAACAGACAATCTGATAAAGTTTGAACCATACATATAAAAGATCACATTCCAAAAACAAGATTCTTAATGAAGTGTATACATATATTAATTTATCATATGGTAAACAAAAGCGGCGGGCTACATTTAACTTTGCAGCCTCCTCAGCTTCCGACCTTCCATTTACTTTTGCACCCATTAACCCATCGACAAACACTTTAAATAAAGTAAAACAACTCGCTTTCACCGCCACTCTTTCCTCATTTCCTTAGGTGTTTTTTTTTCCCACTTAGAAAAGAAAAGGCACAGGAAATAAAAAATTACAAAATATCAAGCGGGAATTTTAAACCCTAAAATTCTTTCCGGCGAAAGTTTGCCCAAATTGCCAATTTGATGGAACAACATTCCATGAAGTAGAAGTGCGCCTATCGCTGCCCGTGACCCGGAAAGACAATGACTGACCGACCAAAACTGAGTTTGACTGCCAGTTTTGACCCCAGTTGCGGCTCATGCTCATCCACCCAGTCCTGGATCCCTTCACGCTCACCTTCACTATATCTCCAGCGCCTGCAACGTTGGTGATCAAAACCAAGTTGAAGTAACGGTGTCCGTTTATTGTGAACCTGATTCCTCCTGGCTTTCTACACGGCACCCTGGAAAAAAAAAATGGCGTTTTAGTAATTCTCGGAGGGATGGGGACCTCCCCATGCAAGTGGGGACAAAGTAGATAAGATTCTCCTTGATTAAAAGATAAACGGTTCTGATTTCTTCACAAGATACATTTGATCAGAGGTTCAGAAGATTGTACACGTGGAATCTTGAAAGACCAATCATATCATACTAGGAAACCTTCGGGCAGTCAATCATGTTTTATTTTTTAGAGCAACCTATCACATTTTCACAGTCGAGATTCATATGAAACAAGCCAACTGCTATGTCCTGACCCACTGCATAGTAATTATAACACAAAATAATTGCTGTTCCATCAATCAATCAAATTGACTTAATCTGATGCATGGAATGGTTTTTTTCTAGGTACAGCAATAATAGTAGTAAGAAACTGATTAGAGATAATACTACGACTAACACTTAATAGTAGTTATAGCAATAATAGTAGAATAAGAGACAAGTATGGTGGAATTGGATGTTTACCGGCGGTAGGAGACAGGGACAATGCCAGCACGGTACTCGGCGATCTTGAGGAACATAGGCATAGCAAGATCGAAGTGAGGGCGGGGAGGATTGCACCAACCACCATTGTCACTAGGCAAAGCATAATTAGGAGGGCAAAAGTTTGTTGCTGTGATAAAAATTGATGGGCTTCCAGAGTGGCACCATTGTGGTTCGTTAGCACACTTTATTTCAAAACAAGCACCGCAACTAAGGCCATTGTTGAACAGGGCTGTGCTGAGTGCTGCAGTATTCACGCCATAGCCTTGGCTGTACAAGTTACCGTACCCGCAAGCACCGCCTGAACACAAGAAATAAGATCAATTAATTTCCTCATCTGGGATTTTGGCTTTTCGTTTTTGAATTCTTGAATGGAATTTTAATATTCATAGGCAATGCACGGTATTGGTATGAGCTTATTGTGCTTAAATGCTTTTGAAATCTGATTTTGGTTAAAACAGAGTTCGGTGCTGTAAAAAGGCAGTGCAGGTAAGGGATTACTTTTTTTGTTTGTTTTTATGGTTCTGTAATGAAAATGCAACAGCAAAACATGGTTTATGCAAAATGCGGAAACAATTCATGAATAATTCAAGAAGCTAGCTACTTAGCATGAAGGTTTCGAGATTACAGTACCCATAGTCCCTGAGGCATCGTTGCCACCATAAAAGGTAGCATGGGCGCTCTGCCAAGCTGCGCCAGTGTAAACACCGGGAATTCTTGCTTCAACAAGACTCAAAAGCAGCACCAAAGATATAAAAGAAATGGTGGCCCTGGCAGCCATTGCTTTCACTGATCACTACTAAACTACGAAGGAGCTGCTGGAGATGGGGATTTGGGAAAGTGGCGAGTGTGTGGAGAACGCAGAGTGCGGACTGCTATTTATGGAGGGAAAAAAAGGCATTACGTTGACACGCCAAAAAAAAAAAAAAAGGAAGAGAGGTACCAAATTATAATCAGCCTTGATTGGTGCTTAATTTGGACTCCAGTTAACCAAGCCAATTCTTTCTTTTATTCCCTACATTGACGGTAACCCTTTGAATCTGCTTGAAGCTTTTGATACTCCTTACGTATCAAAATCCAAAATATATAAATAAAAAAGTTATTTATTATTTATTATAGTAATTATTCTTGAATTTTTTTAATTTAAATAGTTTTAAATTTACAATAAAAATTTTAAATACCGGAAAAGCAGTCTCAGTTAGAAGATTCAAAGATCTTTCAATTATAAAATTAATATATTTATAGGAAATATATTAAATAATTTAAAAACTTTAAATTCTAGAAACAAGAATGTTTATTTTTTAATTTCAAGTTTGTTAATGCTATAAAATCTAAGTATTTTTTATTTTAAAAAATAAAAAATTGTAAATCATTTACCAGCATGCTTCAGCAAATATTTATAACATTAGAACCTTATCATTTTTATATAGAAAAAAAGCTGAAAAATTCTTTGTTTTAAAAGATATTATTGAGAATCAAATATTTTTTATATATTATTAAAGAGATAATAAATAAAGTAGATTTCTTAAAAAATTATATATATAAACATAGTGGAATCATTACTTTAATATGAGATTTTTATTTATAAGTTTTTTTAAAGAAAAAAGTTAACTCATCACTATTGTTCAACAAAAATACCACCGTGGTTTATCACATGGGGGGTATTAAAGTAAGGGTATTGGTTGAAAGGGGTAAGGACACAGGAGGATGAAGAACTATCAAAGCCTAATATGCAACCGCTTTGCTTCATTTCCAAGTTTCGCCATCGATTGCAGTTTCGGTCTAACAATTTCTTTCTTTTTGGCCCTTTTTTTAACCTTTTGATTTTTCCCTCCGTTGAGATTTCGTAAGTGGTGGGCTTGAATTTGGAGGGAATGGTGGGACTGCTATCTTGTACGGATCATGGAATGTAACATGACGCTTCAGACTCCAGACCATGTGCATTAACCCACCTAACAACTGCTGCTTTGGACAGCAAATGAAGCACGCATACAATGTGGAAAGTCTCCAGACGTTACTTTTAATTACTGTGGATAACATAGAAATCTTGAAGAAAACTACACTCCGATGATCACAAGTATCAAGAATCAAAATAATTCGTTGGTTTCACGTTGAAAAGTTTAAACATTACAGTGTTGGAGTATGAAGTTTCACGCCGGCAAGCCTCCAGACAGTGTCTCGATATTATGTATACCTATGCCCCTTTGTTGACGATGCAAGATTTCAAAGCGAATTATACGACCGTAAACAGCCGTTTGAGGTTGGAAAACGTCGCGTTGCATTGCATTAGGCAC